AAAAAAAAAAAAAAAAAAAAGCATGTTTCATGCAGAACCCCTTAAATTCTACAAGCAAAAGACTCTAACCCTACTTTTTCTAGCTTTCTTACTTAGTTTCATAACCAAAAGTGACCACTTTTTATCAAGCTCAAGCAACTCTCTTCTAATAACATCAAAAATGGCCCCCCAAACCCAAACCATTCAATCTATTGCACACTCATCCATAGCAAAAATTACCTTCGACGGCCATTTATCCTTCGAAAACAACGAGCACGCGGCTAAGGACTTTGGCAACAGATGCCACTACACTCCGTGGGCTGTTCTACACCCGAAATCAGTCTCCGACATATCATCTCTAATAAGGCATATTTATGAGTTGGGCCTAACCTCGGATATAACAGTAGCCGCAAGAGGCCACGGCCATTCGTTGGAGGGCCAGGCCCAGGCCCAACAAGGCATTGTCATCAGCATGGAATCACTTCGTGGGCTCGGAATGCACTTTCATCAGTTGGGGGGCAAAAAACCGTACGTGGATGTACCGGCTGGTGAGCTTTGGATAAATATTCTGCACGAGAGCTTAAAGAGAGGCTTTGCGCCAAAATCGTGGACCGATTATCTTCATCTCACGGTCGGGGGGACTTTGTCGAACGCTGGAATAAGCGGACAGGCTTTTAAGCACGGGCCGCAGATCAACAATGTGTACCAACTACAAGTTGTCACAGGTTAAAGATAGGTTTTTTTTTTTTTTTTACACATTTAAAAATCAAATTCAAAGGAAAAAATTTAAATACATCTCGAATTATTTACGTTGCAGGAAAGGGAGAAATCGAAACTTGCTCGGAGGATCAAAACAGAGACCTTTTCCATGCAGTACTTGGCGGGCTTGGACAATTCGGTGTTATTACCCGAGCGCAAATCGCCTTAGAGCCTGCCCCTAAAATGGTGATAATAATAATAATCTCAAATAAAATCATGCATTACCACAAAACTTCTAAACATAATTATAAGAGTCCTCTGTCACAGGTTAAATGGATTAGAGTACTTTACGCAGACTTCTCCACGTTCGCTAACGACCAAGAGCACATAATTTCTTTCGAGAATTCGTTCGATTATGTGGAAGGTTTTGTTAATATAAACCGAACTGGTTTGTTAAAATACTGGGGATCGTCTTTCACTCCAAAAGATCCCGTTCGAGCAAATCAGTTCACTTCCGAAGGTAAGATTCTGTTCTGCCTAGAAGTCGCCAAATACTACAATCCTGAAGAGAAAGATTGCGTAGATCAGGTGAGACTATAAATTATAATAACACGAACCAAACACATACTAACAAACATTGGATTTTTCTAAGGATGCTTTAATGCTGCATGCAGGAAATAGATGACCTGTTGTCTGACCTGAATTATATCGAATCGACTCTTTTTCTTACGGAGGTCTCGTATCTCGATTTTCTAGACAGAGTGCACGTCTCCGAAATAAAACTCCGGGAGAAAGGTTTGTGGGATGTGCCACATCCATGGCTAAACCTTCTAATCCCGAGAAGCGATATTGACGAATTTGCCCATGGAGTATTCGGAAAAATTGTCAAAGATACCAACAATGGTCCTGTCCTGATATATCCTGTCAACCAATCAAGGTATTATAACTTCTCAGACAGAATTAATAGTTACTTTTTTATATATATTAAAAAAAAATGACAGGTGGATACGCGGCACATCCTTAATCACGCCCGACGAGGATGTGTTTTACATGGTTGCATTTCTATACTCGGCAAATCCATCTTCCACTGGGAACGATAGCTTAGAACATTACTTAAAGCAAAACCGAAAAATTCTAAGTTTTTGCCGAAAGTCCAATATCACGGCCAAACGGTATTTGACACGTTACCCTACACAAGAGGAGTGGAAAGCTCATTTCGGGACGAACTGGGAAGTTTTTCAGAGGAGGAAATTGGATTATGATCCCCTAGCAATCTTAGCTCCTGGACAAAGAATATTCCAAAGGGAAAAAAACGCGTTTCGTTTAGAATGATAGCGAAAATTTGAATGTTGCTCGGTCAGTATTTAGAGCTTTATGCAATATGGCAAGCGTTGTTAGAAGTAAATTCTTACTGCAATTCTCTTCATTTCCTGTCATCTGGTCTCTCAATTTCAGAAATAAATATGAAGTTTTAGAGCTTTTCGAAAAATTAGCCGTTGAATCACATGATATAATCCGGAAAAATCAAGATTCAACAAAAAACACAGCCTTAGGGAACAAATCGAAGCAATGCAGCATATCTACAAACAAGAACCGGTGGCTGACATTGATTATTTGATCATAACAAGCAGAAAAGCTTTTTTCAGATAAATTTATTGCACAATCCAAATTAAAAATCTATCAAGAACAGGACCCTTTTGAAAGCCTTAGGAAACAAGAAATATCATAAAAGAAACATATACGATATTTACACCAAACCGATGCGGTCTCACGCAAATGAAGCGCACGAAGTCCCCGGTTAACCGAAAATTCGGTTCGATTTCGATTCGGATCTACGATTCAGCGGTTCGGTTCGAATTTTTTGCCCAGCCCTATCCATAATTATTCACAAACGATTTAGTTTCATCCATAATTATTCACAAACGATTGTAAAGCAAATTTCTCAAGTCGGTACAATCCAAGATTTCAGGAGAAAAGAAATAGGAAAATTGCACCAAGTACCCTTGTGTTATACAAAATGTGCGCGTTATTACATGTGTTTTAGAAAATGCACCAAACCCCCTTATATTTAATAAACTGATGCACACGCTCCCTTGATTCAATTTTTCTATTAACGGTGTTAAATTTTCCGCAAAAACTCTGTTATACCCTCCGAATATTATATATATAGTTATGATAAATTGAATTTATCACGATATATTAAGTATATCGCGAGAAATTAAATAAAAAAAATCTTCTGCCCTTAGGAATCGAACTTGTGACCTCATGAGAGCATGCAACCACCACACTACTCAAGGTTGAGTGTTAGATTTGGTAACATTTAATATATGTAGTCATTACATATGGATAAATGAACTTAAATTTTAGAAGATAATGAAACTATAACAAATTAAATTATTAATATATAAAATCATATAAAATTATATAAAATTAAACGAAAACAAAATTATAATAACTTATTATATTAAACAAAAACAAAATAACTAAAAAAAATTATAAATAAATATAAAAAAATAATAGTATTTATTGTAAAAAAAATATAGTAAAAATATAGTAAAAACTATATTTTTATTTTTATTATTTATTTAACTTATATCATTTCAAAATATTTTGTTGCATTATTTATATTATTTTATCTTAATTATCAAACTTTATTTATTTTGTTTAACTTAATAGAACGAATTAAAATAAAATAAATTAATAAATTTTAATAGATAAAATTTAGAAATTAAAATTATAAGTTATTTCAGTTTTTTTCATTCATTTACGTAAGAGTAAATCATATTAAAATTATTTGACAAAATTATATTTTTTATTATATTAATATAAGATTGTTATTTATTTTAATTTATTGTTTCATATATTCTATCTAATTTATTAATTTATTTTACTTACCATTTATATACTTTATATAATATATTATTATTATTTTTGTTATACTTTATTTAGTTTATTTTAATATTATTTATCGTTTAAATTTAATTATAATTAATTTTTTTTTTAAAAAAGAAATTATACAATTAATTTATTTTAATAATTAAAAAATATAAGTTTATTTAATTTCAATTTACGCTACTATATTAAATTTTATCTTACTTTATTTAATTTATTTTTTTCACTATTTTATGTTAATTTAAATTATTGCAATTTATTATTATTATTTATTCAATTTATATTAAATTTATCTAATATACTTTATTTTATTTTATTTTATTTTATTTACATTATTTGCGTTTGATATTATAAATATATTTATGGTAAACAATTTACACTACAATCCATATAGACCACTCGTTGTGTGGGCATTTTCATTCTACACCACCCTGGGTTCGAATCCACTTCCCACACCATTCAAAATTTTAACTTTTCAATTAATCAGGAAGGTATAATGATAAATTAGTAATTCTGACTTTTCAATTAATCAGGAAGGTATAATGATAAATTAGTAATTCTGTAAAATAAGAAAATTGAACAATTCTCACAGCTAGAGAAGGTGTATCACACGCGCCGTTAAGTTGGACGGAATAGGGAAATCGTGCATCAAATACTTAAATATAAGGGACTACGGTGCATTTTTTAAACACATAGTAGTAATGCGCACATTTCGTTAAACACAGAGAGACGCTACGTATTTTACCCGAAAAGAAATGGTGACCTCAAAAGATCAAACACAGAGAGGCGCTACGTATTTTACCCGAAAAGAAATGGTGACCTCAAAAGATGGAAAATCAAGAAAGATTGGTTCTTCGTCTTTGTCCGGTGGCAATGTATTCATCTCGTCCACTTAAAACAATATGAAGCAAGCGTCTGATCCAGAATTTAGGTGTGCTTTAAAACCAACAAGATTCATTTACAAGCTTAAATCGACCATCTGAGAGCTGACATAGTGCAGAGTTGAGCATTATGAAATGTGAACAGAAATCAATTTTGGTATAAATCACTTTTGGAGTCGAATTCCCCAAAAACACACTAAAACCATATCCATAACAATAACAACAATAATGACAAAAGAGCATATAAGTATGTTAATCTGCACTTAATCCAAAATTTTGCCCAACAAAACCAATTAATCATCCAAGTGAAAACAAAAAAAAAGGTGGCGGAAGAAGCTAAGCCGAAGGATTATCTATCTAGCAGCCTGAGGCTGAGCATGATCCAGAAGCTGGCTAACTAACTTGTAAGTGCGACCAGAAAGCGCTTTAGTGTGATCAATCAGCTGCTCATACCTGAAAACAAGAGAAGAAAAAAAAATTAAGTTCCCTTACAAAAAAGCAATCTAATACTAACAAAGAAATTTGACACAATCAGCAAAACTTACACATTGGTGTGGTTGGGCTCCATAATGATTGTCCCGGTCTCTGAATCAATTTTCGCTTCAAGTTTTGAGGTCCTAATAAGATTCACTATCCATCTTTCTGCCTCCTCGTAGTTCAAATTCAGTTTCTCGGCAAGCACCCTATCAATAACCAGCACAATAGTAGTAAAATCACTAACTGTGAAAGTACTAAACGTTGTATTCTTAAAAATTAGATATATGATCATGCAACATCAGTTAATTAAAACAAACATGAGTATTGTAATCAGGTGTCGATTGAATTGTATAACTCACATATAAGCTTTATCCAAATTCTGATTTTGAGACATATATATATTAATATATATATATATATATGGGACTAATGTATGTGTGTTTTGGAAGGAGAGAAGGAAATGGGTGACATTAAGCAATTAAAACAACAAATTTGGGTTCACATACGCCATATCAATGCGCTGATGAATGCGGCAGTAGGTCTCAAAGATGAAAAGTCGAGCATTTTCAAGGAATTCATCACGTAAAGGAACAGAAACAAAGTTCCCTTCCCCAACCCTCTTGCCAAGAAACGGGTCATTTATGATCACCTGCATTGAGATAAAAAGTATCAATTCAGTAAACAATAAAATAATAGTCAAGAGAATAACCTTCTAACACCAAGCCATTATGAAGAACATTTAAGTTCATTCCACAAGATGAGACAATCAGAAAACAGTTGTTTATGCCTGAGATCCAAAAGAAAAGCCTCAAGTCTATACATATACTTTAGGTTAAGCAAGAACTATCAATGCCTTCATTCCCAGATACATGACACTCAGACAGATTATTGAATTTTAAGAATCAAGATAATACCTCGGAATCAAAGTAAATATAATAAAATGTGTCTACAGAGAGAAGGAAGAACGCCATTAAGGAACAAACTTACTTCTTCACACTCTTTCATCTTCTTCTGGGCTCCATCAAAGTCATAATTGACATATATGCATGCCAGAAACTCAGTAATGGGATCTTCATAAGAGTATTGCTCTTGCTGAATCACCTTAATAAATTCCTTAAACTGAGTCCTTCTCCTTTTGTTAACTATGAAAGCAGTCGCCAGGTAACGTAGCAGATGGGGGGCATTCGTTTGAATGGCATTCAGATACCTGGAATAGGCTTTCTCATCAAATATTCCAAAACCTTAATAAAAAGATAGCAGGAAAATAATTGAAAAAAAAAAAACATAAGACTTAACAATTGCTGTCCCAATAAATCTAAACACAGAAAATTGCTGAAAATAAAACAAAATAACCGCAGAATAAATTAGTTCAATTGTCATACTTGTCCTGATTAAACAAGTCAATAATCTGAGTCATTCCATTGTCATGGTTAAAGAAGATGAATAAGCTCCAATGCATTAGCCATATTCGGCTCTGAACTTGATTCAACGGAGAAGAGAAATTCTGCAAAGACATGCATCACTATAAGTTCCACTTAACAAAGGAACACTACAAATTACTAGAACCAATATGAAAGATGACCAACCTTAGAGTCTATGATATCTTTCACACGGTTAAGCTCTTCCAATGCAATGTCCCAATTTTGCATCAATATCTCTGCTGCTAGCTTTCCCCACAATGCACTCAAGCTCCTGTCACTATTGGTGCACAAGGCCCTGTACTGATACAAATAATCAGCAGCACCCGAGTAGTTCCCACACTCAAATTGGAATTTCGCATACTGATACAATGCTTCTATCTGCTCAGGACCAATCTGGACCAACATATAGCAGGCGTTTTATCAGTACAACTGGTGCTAGTAGACAAGCAAAGATATCGACAGATATATGCATAGGCTATGTTGGTTCAACATTTAACATACTTGCCAAAGTTTATTGTGCAGGACCTAAGAATAAGTCGGATTATGCATGAATCATCATTCATTTTATGGGAAAAAAAAAATAAAAAAATTGCAAGGATAATAACTTTAGGAAGAGAGAAAACTCATCCACCAACTAATCTACTTCTCGTTCAATTACCTCGTGTCCCATGAATAAATGCATGGCAAGGCTACATTATGATCATGATATATGCAATACAGACAATATTCAAACCTGATAGCGATCATGGAGCATCTGAAGATTGTGTTGCTTGTCAGCCCTCAGTTCCTGATATGCATTAGGGTTCTGCAAGAAAGATATCAATGGAGCTGCTCCTTCTTCCAATGCCTTCAGTCTACCCACCACCTCAGCTCTCCTCTCCACCATCTCTGAAGCATGCAGAAAATGAGAAACAGTTTAAATTAAGTAAAACCAAAGCTCTAATAAGTTCTATCTTGAAGACGAATACCATGAATAATTCAAAACCCATAAAAAAAAGGACAACTTTATAAGCAATTTGCCCAATTGCAAAGTTAAATATCAACATTATCCAGGTAAACAAACATATGACTACATCTACACCAGCCCCGCATAAGGTAATACAAGACGTGTGGCTGAGAAGAGAACAAAAAGATCAAAATATGGGAAATTAAGGTAAACCGCTATTCCTAAACTACGAAAAACTAATAACGCAATCTGGATCTATAACATAATCAAATTCCTTAGAACTATGCATACCCTGGGGAACATCTTCGGTGCGGTAGAGAGATTTGTGGATGTCCATGGCGTAATCGACCATGTTGGTGTGGTTGAGCAGCTCAATTTTGGCCTTGAGGATATCCTCCTCCGGGTACAGACCTCTCTCCTGCAGAAACTCGAGCAGCGGGAACACTAGGTGCCGATCTAACTGCGGTGCTATCCGCTGCGTGAGGTCGTGCTTTGCGGCCATCGTTCCTTACGCGGTGTTGTAGGAGCCGGCGGATATAAGCTTTGCGGTGCTGCGGTGGTAGGTAGGCGGCGGACTTAGGGTTACTTGGGTATGAAACGAGGGTTACAGCCCTCTCTCCATAAATACTTTTTGCTTTTATTAATTAATAATTTTAAGGGTAAATATTTTTTTTCAACCTGTACTATACGTGTTTTTGAGATTTGCAACCTAAAGTATTTTTTTGTTGTAAAATGCAACCTGAACTACATATATACAATTATTTGCACGCTCGACTACTTTTTGACCGTCCGATCATATGCAAAAAAGGACACGTGTATGGTCAAGATGTGGTCGAGCGTGCAAATAGTGATTGTATATGTAGTTCATGTTGCATTTTACAACAAAAAATACTTTAGGTTGAATATCCCAAAAGCACGTATAGTACAGGTTGGAAAAAATTATTTACCCTAATTTTAATGTCTCTTCCTACTAGTATGTAACCCGTGCGATACACGGGCTAGTACATGTTTTGGAAAATTTTAAGAAATTAAAAGGTCATTAATTAATAAATTATTATAATATGTATGACATTCATAAAGTAAACATAAAATCGTCATTGGTAAAAGGTTATACATTATTAAAAATTTCTTTATATACAACGTTATTAGTTTGATTACTGGGTAACTCATTGTCCCCACAAACTAATATTTTCAACCCCTTCCTATTAGTAACACGTGAAACATCGACGTATAACTGGCCATGACTAAAAACAGGTTTTTTAAAGAACAGTCCAACATGTGATAAAGACTGACCCTGACTCTTGTTTATGGTCATGGCATAGGAAACCATAAGGGGAAATTGCCTCCGTTGGAACTTAAACGGAACCCTAACATCAGAAGGAGTTATGTTCATCCGAGGAATCAACACCTTCTCACCTGCGTGATCTCCAGTCAATATCCTACATTCAAGAACATGCGGAGAGAGCTTCGTAACAACCAAACATGTACTATTACACAGACCCATAGAATGGTTCATGTTTCGCAACAACATGACTGAAGTTCCTATCTTCAAATGCAACTCATGGTTCGGCGTTCCTGAACACTTAATGCTATTCAAGAACTCGGGTGTGTGGAGATCACCCAAAAAGCCATTGTCGGAATCCGACTTAGACGTACTGTAAGAGCTCAAATATGTACGACCTTCAGCAGAATTCATATGCGACATGTATTGATTGATAGACTCAACGACCTCCAAAGTAGGCGATAATATAACTCTGTCCTTTAAATAACTTGGATCGTCAGTTGCATTTTTTAACATATAAATCATTAATCGAAATGAATGAGAGACGTCATCTCACGATAACAAATATAATAACACTAAAATTCATAATTCAACGACATGGAATGACAATAAAACATAATAAAATTAATAAAACAATAAATATATTACAAATAATAACCTTGAAGGACATGGAATAACAATGAAATTCATAATGTAAATTGGAATTCTTATCAAACCCTAAAATATCATAAATATCTCACGCTCCTTGCTAATGTTGAGGCAAAAGATCACAATTTTGAGGGAAAATCGCACCATATTTGATAACATGAGTTCTTTTGTGAAGCACAAGTTTCCATATGTTGGTTATGATATATTTCTTCCCATGATTAAATTCAACGACATAGTTGCTGATTGCATACACCTCGCCTTCGTTCAGTACACCTCGAAATGCTCCCATATTTGTAGAACGTATTATGCCTTTAATAAATGCACCCTACAAAATTAATTTATAAATATTAATATTTTCACAAAAAAAATAAATTATTCGGAATACTAATAAAAATAAATTTATAAAATAAATTTATAAATTTGATATTACTAATAAAAATATTTACCTGTTCATCATGAAACAGTATATGGAATGCGTTCCAGCTCTCTCGTTCGTGATGCGTTTCAAATATTCGGACTGCTTTCAATCACAAATAAGGTTTGTTTGTCCTACTCACGGAATTGAGTGTATCCCAGACCGGCGGCATGATATTATTGTTGTATTCTAAAATTTATCTGTATAATTTTTTTTCTCTGAACGCTGTGAATGACGTGAAGAAATAATTGTGGTAGTGAATATCCTTTTATATACGTTGGTACCGAAAAAAGTGATCCTGCCGTTGAGGATTTCTCCAATAGTACAAAAAGAAATGCCCCTTAATGGTGAGGTAACACGTTCTTGCCCCGGACCAGAGTTCGCAGGAACTACACCCTGAGCTACTTTGATGAAAATTATTTAAATAAAAAGATATTGTTGCGATTTTATCATATAACTGATTTATAGATATATATGGAGGCTTAAATAGGAGATTTATTCCATAGTATATATCTATTGCAATCAATGCTCCATGTTTTGTTAATGTAGCAAAAAAAATTGGAAATCTTGGCGTGAAATAATGATTTATTCCATAAACAATTGTTGTTAATCGGAAATAAATAAGAGCGATTTTAGGAAATTATGTATATTTTAAAGAAATATATCTATATTTTAAAGAAAAACGAATATCTATATTTTAAAGAAAAACAAATATTTGTACGAATTTATGTAGCTTCCAAAAAATTCTCCTTATTGTACCGAAATCCAAAAAATATCATTACCATTTTTATCGGTTA